ATCTAAACCAAATCCCTTATGAATACACAGTGGAAGTGAGGAACAGGTTTAAGGATTTAGATTTGCTGGACAGAGTGCCTGAAGAACTATGGTTGGAGGCTCGCAACATTATACAGGAGGCAGCAACTAAAACCATCCCAATGAAAAAGAAATGCAAGAAAGCAAAGTGGCTGTCCAACGAGGCCTTACAAATAGCGGGGAGAGAAGGCAAGCAAAATGCAAGGGAGATAGTGAAAGATACAGGAAATTGAATGCAGATTTCCAAAGAATAGCAAGGAGAGACAAGAAGGCCTTCTTAAACGAGCAATGCAAAGAAATAGAGGAAAACAACAGAATGGGAAGAACCAGAGATCTGTTCAAGAAAATCGGAAATATGAAAGGAACATTTCGTACAAAGATTACCATAATAAAGGACAAAAGTGGTAAGGACCTAACAGAAGCAGAAGACATCAAGAAGAGGTGGCAAGAATACACAGAGGAATTATACCAGAAAGATATGGATGTCTCGTACACCCCAGGTAGTGTGGTTGCTGACCTTGAGCCAGACATCCTGGAGAGTGAAGTCAAATGGGCCTTAGAAAGCACTGCAAATAACAAGGCCAGTGGAAGTGATGGTATTCCAGCTGAACTGTTTAAAATTTTAAAAGATGATTCTGTTAAGGTGCTACACTCAATATGCCAGCAAGTTTGGAAAACTCAGCAGTGGCCAGAGGATTGGAGAAGATCAGTCTACATCCCAATACCAAAGAAAGGCAGTGCCAAAGAATGCTCCAACTACCGCACAATTGCACTCATTTCACATGCTAGCAAGGTTATGCTTAAAATTCTACAAGGAAGGCTCAAGCAGTATGTGGACCGAGAACTCCCAGAAGTGCAAGCTGGATTTAGAAGAGGCAGAGGAACCAGAGACCAAATTGCAAACATGCGCTGGATTATGGAGAAAGCTAGAGAGTTCCAGAAAGACATCTACTTCTGCTTCATTGACTATGCAAAAGCCTTTGACTGTGTTGACCACAGCAAACTATGGCAAGTTCTTAAAGAAATGGGAGTGCCTGATCACCTCATCTGTCTCCTAAGAAATCTCTATGTGGGACAAGAAGCTACAGTTAGAACTGGATATGGAACAACTGATTGGTTCAAAATTGGGAAAGGAGTACGGCAAGGCTGTATATTGTCTCCTGCTTATTTAACTTATATGCAGAATTCATCATGCGAAAGCCTGGGCTGGATGAATCCCAAGCCGGAATTGAGATTGGTGTAAGAAATATCAACAACCTCAGATATGCAGATGACACAACCTTGATGGCAGAAAGTGAAGAGGAATTAAAGAACCTTTTAATGAGGGTGAAAGAGGAGAGCGCAAAATATGGTCTGAAGCTCAACATCAAAAAACAAAGATCATGGCCACTGGGCCCATCACCTCCTGGCAAATAGAAGGGGAAGAAATGGAGGCAGTGAGAGACTTTACTTTTTTGGGCTCCATGATCACTGCAGATGGTGACAGCAGTCACGAAATTAAAAGACGCCTGCTCCTTGGGAGAAAGGCGATGGCAAACCTAGACAGCATCTTAAAAAGCAGAGACATCCCCTTGCCAACAAAGGTCCGTATAGTAAAAGCCATGGTTTTCCCAGTAGTGATGTATGGAAGTGAGAGCTGGACCATAAAGAAGGCTGATCGCCGAAGAATTGATGCTTTTGAATTATGGTGCTGGAGGAGACTCTTGAGAGTCCCATGGACTGCAAGAAGATCAAACCTCTCCATTCTGAAGGAAATCAGCCCTGAGTGCTCACTGGAAGGACAGATCCTGAAGCTGAGGCTCCAATACTTTGGCCACCTCATGATTAGAGAAGACTCCCTGGAAAAGACCCTGATGTTGGGAAAGATGGAGGGCACACGGAGAAGGGGACGACAGAGAATGAGATGGTTGGATAGTGTTCTTGAAGCTACCAGCATGAGTTTGATCAAACTGCGTGAGGCAGTGGAGGACAGAAGTGCCTGGCGTGCTCTGGTCCATGGGGTCACGAAGAGTCGGACACGACTAAACGACTAAACAACAAATAGTTTTGCACTATAAAGCTGACAAACCTTGATGAGGATTTATGTTTAATTTTAAAACGCTGATTGCTGCAGAAATGTGGAGAACTGAATTTAAGACTCGAAAAATGAGAAACTTAGGCTGTGTACACACCATACCTTTAAAGCACATCTAAAACATGTTCATCCCCACCACAAGAATCCTGGGAACTGTAGTTTGTTAAGGGTGCTGCAAATTGTAGCTATGTGAGGGGTAAACTACAGTTTCAGGATACTTTTTTGTGCATGCGCATACTTTAAGTGTATAATGTGTACACAGCCCTAGAGAACCAAAATGACAGATTTGTCCAGTGAGATACTATCAGTTCATCACCCCAGAAAAGCTGCTGCCTCTTGCTTCACAGCTGTGGATCCCCAAACAATTCACCAAACCCCTTATGCAGTCTGCTTTGTTCAGGACCACCCAACAACAAAAAAACCCTAGCAAGTGTAGGTAGATGTGTAGGCTGACTGGAGGAACAGCACTGGCATCATTTGAATGACCAGTATGTGCTAGTATGAATTGGGTGCGGCCTTGGAAAGCAGCACAATACCGAAAGTCAAGAATCCCATAGCAAATGTCTGGTTCCCAGGAAAGAAAACCCATTATTTCAAACAGGACATCTGGAGCAGGGCGTGTGCAAACATGTGCCTGCCTGCACACCTGACCTTTGCTCAGCCTTGATCTGGGTTTCATTCATGCCTTCTTTCTGTTGCCTTTCCAAGTGCACAAAGTCAATTCAAAGCCTGTCCAAGGGCTCTGACTGCAATGCAGCCCGTTTGTACTGAAGGTAGCTGGATAAAAATATAAAAAGGGTAGGGAGGGAAGTGGAAACGTTGATTTAAAAAACAGTGAGACATTGAGGGACTCTCCTCCGGGTGTGGGCACCATTTAGCAAAAGTTGGTTGTACTATGGACAATGGAAAGGGAATGCACTTAGCTGTGTGACAAAAACTGTGCAAGAGGGGCACTGTGTCAGAAGGCGATGGACACAAGAGTGGGGAACTGGGCCTGGCCAGCAAGCCAGATGCTTATCTTGACCTGCAGGTCAGGTATGACACGTGGGTGAAGCCACCCACTTTGTCAGTCACCTGACAGCACTATGACACCAGCTGACTCAATTTTACCCACATGTGGGCAATGGCATGGTGCTTTGCTCTAAAAGTCGGTTGAACCAGTAGGAGAACTGGGTGGCTGCCTAGGGTGGCAAACTTCCAGGGTAGCCAACCTGATGCCAAGTTTCTGTGTTCAGGTTCTTATTAAAGTTTTTTCATGACACAATATAGATATAGAAAACTAATGTAAATTAGAAAATGAAAACAAAAACAGCTACAAAAAGTAAAAATAAGGTATGATGTCCTCTCTTAAAGGTAGTTCTTAACATTCATAGAAGGTAGTAGCCCCTCCCAGCTCTTATCTGGGATCTTTCCTTTCTCCTTCCAGCCTCTCACCCTGGGAGCCTGCCAGAAGTTTCTGGACTACAATTCACATCATCCCTGACCATTGGTTGTGCTGGCAGGGGCTCTTGGGAGTTGTAGTCCACCATTTTCTGGAGGGCACCATGTTGGTTACCTCTGTTCTTGCCTATTCCTCACCTTCGCTCCCTGGCTTGCCTGCACTTCACAGGATGACTGGCCCCAGGAATGCAGCTGTTGCCTAGCCCACTATCTATGTCTGAGTCAGCTGCAGCCTTGGAACGCCTCCCAGATTTCATTCAGCTGCTGGGCTGGGTCTGGCTCATGGAGGAGGACTAGGCCTCTTTATCTTAAGTGCCGTTCCTTCAGTTTCCTTTGCTTCAGGAAACCTCAAGCCTGAGATAGGCCGCCTCATATGTTCACACGCATAGAGCACAAATTATTTATTCTTTTCCACTCTCTATGAGGACTGTTAATTCCTCAAAAGTAGGGTTCACATATGTCCTCTTTTTCCAGGGCAGGTCCTTTTTTATGGGTAGAGTTGTCATAGCGATCCATAGTTAAAAGCAGAATTCGGCAAATGTGTCCTCTCTTTTGCTCTTCAAAATATGGTAACTCTACAAAAGTGGCTCCTGTATTTTACAACTGAGCCCTACCATTAGGCAAGGAAACGTAGCTGGCTGCTGATGGGGGAAACAGGGGGTCAGAGCTGGCCCAGCCCTTAGGAAGTGTGAGGTTCCTACCTGGTCTGCTCCTTCTGCCAGTGGCAGAGAAGCAAAGCCGCAATTGGCACCAATTTTGGGCAAGATACTCCAGGGATTCCATGTGCTTACCTAAGATTCTGCTTCCTTGGAAAGAGGGACAGCAGAGACTGTGGAGTCTTCATGATATATGGGTTACTTACACATATACTCAACCTGAACTTACAACGGAGGGGCTCATAGCATTAACATCACAGAAGGTCCTGCATCTCCCATAGTCATAGCCTTGGATTCAAGGAAAAATCAAGCATGGTTCTCATTCACTAGCTTCTGCCTGCTTCCACCCAGCTCACAGAGCTCTGCATTTTTGTCTTCTTTACTACCAGTCAGGTGACGCCCACCAACCATTTCCCCTCTAGCACAGAACAACCTCCTTTGTTATACTATGGACCCATACTTTGGTGGTGATAAGGACCACCATAGTTCAACAATGGAGTCCTCCATTAGATTTTAACCCTTGCTGGACGCAGGACCCCAGCGATTAGAAGAGACTCGGGCATCCTGCAGGTTAGCACAAGCGTTCCCCCCAAAAGTCCTTAAACTCAGCAGCCTAATTTAGGGGTGTGTGTGTGTGTAGATCTCCTTGCTGAGCTACTGCAAGCCACGCAAGAGACCTATCAGCAGATCCTGACCCACTGCCAACCGATGGAACAGGAAACCCCCTGGAAAGCTTTAATGGGAGGGGGGGAGTAAGTCCAACACGTCAGCAGATAGGAAACGAGCTGCTCTCTAAGGCTAAGGGAAAGCGACCTGGAGGAGGGAAAGGAAGGGAGGATCTGCTTTGACAGCCGCCGGTGCCAGGCGCCTCCCGGCCCCGAGGGTGGGCTGAAGATCAATCCGCTTCCGCCGGGAGGCCGCGGGAAGGGCGGCGGCGGCGGCGGCGGCGGCGGCTGGTTATGCGAAGGGCTGAGGGAGCGAGTGGGCGGCAGGAAGAAGCGCCCAAGTCATCCCGGGTCTCCTCGCGAGGGCGGAGGTGCGCCGGCAGGGCGGGGCCTGGGCGGCCCCAAAGCCATAAAGGGCTCAGCCGGTTCTTCGCCCGCGAGAGCGCGCAGCAGCCCAAGCAGGAGCAGCAGCGGCGTTGCGGAGCCGGAGGCCAGCGTCCCCGTCGGAAGACAGGCAGGCAAGCAAGGCGGGCGAGCGTGGCCTTGGCGCTGGTCCCTCGAGGCGCTCTCGGTGCGGCGGCTCTGTTGGCGAGCGCGGGCAGCGGCAGCAGCATGAAGGGCCCGGCCGGCGCGTCGCCGTCGGAGGTGATCCGCGAGGGCGAGCTGGAGAAGCGCAGCGACAGCCTCTTCCAGCTGTGGAAGAAGAAGGCGGTGGTGCTGAGCAAGGACAGCCTGAGCCTCTTCTCGCCCGAGGCCGGCAAGGCCCGAGGCGGCGGCGGGAAGGAGCTGCGCTTCGGCTCCATCCAGAAGGTGGACTGCGTGGAGCGGACGGGCAAGTACGTGTACTTCACCATCGTCACGACGGACCGCAAGGAGATCGACTTTCGGTGCCCGGGCGAGAGCTGCTGGAACGCCTCCATCACCATGGCGCTCATCGACTTCCAGAACAAGCGCGCCATCGAGGACTTCAAGAGCCGCCAGGAGGCCGCCGAGCACGCGGCCGCCGCCACCCGGGACAGGCGCCTCGCGCGCGCCCCCTGAGCCCGAAGCGCGCGCCCCCGAGCGAGAGAGTGACCTAAGGTGAGCGAGTGCTGCCGTCTTGGTCTCGTTTGCCCCCTGACTTCGCCCCCTCCCCGCCTCCCCATCTTCACTCATTGATCCTCTGAGTCGATTAATCTGAATCAAAACCCTAAGACCTGTTCTGCTTCATAGGGCCTGCTGGGTCACAACCACTCCGTCGATAACCAGCGCAACTTTGGGAAAGTTTTATGCAATTCAGTGGCCTTCCCCTTCTTACCCCGTACAGAATTTATCGTGGGTTGAGAAAGCGATTCGGTGGAATCTGTTGCGCGTAACCTCCCTGTGGGCAGCAGAGCTTGGTTCTAGATGATGATTTTGCAGATTATTGACTAACAGTAGATTAGCGTCAGTGAACAGTAACACACTTCAGTGGTACCTTGGTTTAAGAACAGCTTAGTTTATGAAAAACTTGGATTAAGAACGCTGCAAACCCAGAAGTGGGTGTTTTGGTTTGTGAAGTTTGCCTTGGAAGCAGACCATGTTCCGCTTCCTGTTGAGTGTGTTCCATTTGTAAATTGAGTCCCCCACTGCTATGGGAAAGCACACCTTGGTTTAAGAACGCTTTGGTTTAAGAACGGACTTCCGGAACGGATTAAGTTCGTAAACCAAGGTACCGCTGAAGTTAACTGGAGCATTTGTCTTAAACCGCCTAAATTCCATCAGCTTAAACTGGGGATGAACTAATAATTTTAAATGAGAATACTTGGTTTCCTCCCACATTTAGGATTGGCATAATGTGTGCATCTGCCAAGGAAGCAGAACTCTGAAACTGCAGTGGGGCCAGGCAGTCTGCAAAAAATAAAAAATGAAGCTGCATTTTGACTTTTCGTGTAATTCAGCTGGTGCCATTTAAGGAGTAGTAAGAGGCTAGGTGGCTCTGGAAGCCTCCCTGGACTATGCCCTCCTCAAATAATGGCTCTTTCTGGCTTTGTTAAAGGTAATCCAGAATAAATGGCTAAAGTGAGGGTGACAGCCGTGTGCATCTGGGGATCTTCTTAACGAACTCCCAGACAAAGGCTTTTTCTGTGTGACCAATGTGCTGCTTCAGCACACACCCATATTCCAGGCAGGAATTGCCATTTATTTTTAAATGGGGACATTCATCCGCTTCCAAGTAAAAGGAGAAAAAAGTTAGGATCAGGGTGTTGGAAGAGAGGAGCTGTTCAAACTTTTAGGAATTCCTGGGATGAGGAACACTGTACCCCTCTAGGAGTTGTTAGACTCCAACTCCCATCAAATGCAGCCTGCATGGCTAGTGGCCAAGGATGAGATTTTTAGTCCAACATAATGTGGAGGATACCATGTTCCTTGTCCTTGGTTTTGATAGTTTGGTTATTACAAGTCATCTGGATGAGAATAGATATTTGCAGGAGGGTTGGGATGTTGTGAGTTTTGCACTAAGAACTCATTGCAGAGAGTCTCTGCAGTAGAGTTTGGGGGGTGTCTATTTGTGCTATTACTCAAATTATTATTTGACCCAAATAACTAAACAGGAGGCAATAATTTGCATAGGAGTAGCTATGTTAGTCTGTTGCAGGAAAACCAGCAGAGAGTCTTGTGGCAGCTTAGAGACTAACGTGTTTATTATAGCAAAGCTAATATGCCATAATAGAACTTTTGCCAGCCTGGTACTGCCCTGGTGTTGAACTACAACTCCTTTCAGCCCCAGCTAGCACAGCTTTCCATGCAAAAGATCCCAGATTCAGTTCCCAGCATTTCCCATTGGAATGGGGGGAAAACTCTCTGCCTGAATCCTAGAGAGCTGTTGCCACGCAGAGTGTAGTGGTCTGACTCTTGTCTAAGGCAGCTTCTTATTTTCTCTGTATATTTGGTAGTAGGATGACTTGACCTCAGTGGGTTCCTGAGGCTGTAATCCTAACTCCATTCCCTTGGGAATAAGCCCCATGGAAATCAGTAGGATTGCCTTCTGAAGAGACCGTGTTTAGGACTGTGCTGTAAGTAAACGTTCAGAACTACTAAAGTCTAGCCTATGGTGGCAAAGCCTCAGAAAAGGATGACACTATTAGATGCTTCTTTATAGGATCTTTCTGTATCCCTGAGGTTTTAAAAAGGCAGTCTTGCTATTAGTTTAGCATTATTATTATTTTTGCTACTAGCTTGCTTGTCCTGCTGCATCACTAATAATTTGCTTTTCTCTTGTTTTCAGCAGACTGTACCTCTGGATGACAAAGAAAATCAGTTGTTTTAGACTGAACCGGGACATTAGGACACCAATGAAGGAAAGCAAAGGAGAATGGAGTGCCCAGCTTCTTCCCAGGTCTGATGAGGTGGCTGAGCAAAGAGGCCAGGCTGTTCTACGAGAGGCATTTGCAGACCAAAGACTTTTTACATTTTCTTTAAAAAGACTCATAGGGCAAAGCATGGCTGTGTGAGCAGGATGCCTAGCTTTGCAAAAAATGCTATTGTTTTTCTATTTATGAAATGCAAAGAATATTCAGCACCTGCTGATGCAAAACCAGTTTAAATTATTTGTAATATCTATATTTGTATTTATTTTGATAAAATATCCTTAAGCACATGTTTGTCTTAAAATTGCTTCTGGCATTTGAATATGTCCATTCCAAATTAAATGCTTTTTTATTACTGTATATCTGAGGTGCAGTGTTTTATTTATCAGCAGATGTGGAAATGTGGTTCTCTGCTTGCACCTGACAATGGGGTACTACTAAGGAAAGCCCTTGTATTAGCAGAATTGCAAATGTGTGTTTAGGAGTCTGCAGATATAAAGAGTGGGGGCTCAGCCTTGCCGGGGATAGGATAGAAATGCATGTAGAGTAGCCCCATTTGCCTGTCTTAAAAGCGCAGCAGCCCAACTGAGTCAGACCAGCGGTCAGTTCACTGAATGCTTTCTCAGGATCATAAAAAGAAATCAAAAGGTTATCCAGACCAAGGCTTTACTGCAAGAAAAACCTGTCAGCCTACCCGGTTTACACTGTAGCATGCGGAGAACCAGTGTGGTGCCTTAAGGTGGCTGCAGTTCAAGATCTTCTGGTGACATAGCTCAGCAAAGCAACATACAGTCGTACCATACGCTTCAGGTTACAGACTCCGCTAACCCAGAAATAGCGCTTCAGGTTAAGAACTTTGCTTCAGGATGAGAACAGAAATCGTGCTCCGGTGGCGCAGCAACAGCAGGAGGCCCCATTAGCTAAAGTGGTACTTCAGGTTAAGAACAGTTTCAGGTTAAGTATGGACCTCTGGAACGAATTAAGTACTTAACCCGAGGTACCACTGTACTGCGGTGGAAGGCGGTACCTCTTCACTGCTATGGAGAACTAGCTTTCTCAGCTCCATCTGAGCAAGTTCCCTTTTGAGCCATCCATCAAGTTCCACACCAAGAGCATAGACAAGGGTAGAGCACAGCAATGGAGGGGCACCTTGAGCTTGGAGGGCAGAGGCTATTTTCCTGTGTGATTTGCTAACTAGGATAGAGCAGAATGTTCACCAAGCCTTTTCAGTGGGGCCCCGATACCTCCCTAAAAGGTGACTCCCCTCCCCACCCCCGCTGCTGCTCATAGCTGCCCTGGTTGGCTGCTGCAATGTGTTTCAGACCAGTCTCCTGCATGACACCAGCACTGTTGCTGGGAGGAAGAATTTGAAACTTAAGACATCAGAACAGCGACAGTTCAGGGCTGTGGGGAGCAGGTGTTGAAGGAGCACTACATGTTTATTTAGCCATGCAAAATGCCACTTTTTGTACCTTGTGGAACATGGCCCACTGTTTCAGCTCACCACGAAACTACACTGACACTGCCTTAGTCTCATGCTAAAAGGATTACTGAAGTTACGGTGTGCAAAGATCTTTGAACACTTACTTACCAGAAGTTTGAAACCTGCCTTCCCCAACCCAGTGCCCTCCTGATGTTTTGGACTACAAGCCCAACGCCTGCACATGGCTTTGAAAGCACTTTCGGCTATGCAGAGCAGTTTAACCACTTTACAGCTGTGTAGCTTGCCAGCTTGGTAAGTGTGAAGTTAACTGAATCAGCTGCATGACACCTCTGCTGACTTGAGGGAAGTCATGCTCTGTTTGAGAGGATACAGCTTTTCAAGTATTGCTGTCTGTTTGTCAGATCTGTAGGCTCAGAAAGGGGTGACTGCCAACTGGAATAGGTCTCTGCCCGGAAGTAGACTTCCATCTCTGACGCTCCTCCTGTCTACTTGTTCCAAATGATACAGCCACGCACTCTGGTAAGGAGTGACAATGCCACAGGGCAGAATCAAGGCAACTAATAGAACCTAGCATTTATATAGATCATGTGAGTGTTCAAAGTGCCATGAATGCACAATTTTTTAATCCTTAAAGACAATCTCATAAAGTAGCTCAGTATTCTCTTCATATTACAATGGGTGGGGATTAGTCTGAGAGTGGCTGGCTTATTTAGCTACAGGGGTGCAACAATAAAACGGCTAGCACAGTTGCAAAGCTAAGTAGGGTTTGGTTTAATTTCAAATTGGATGTTGAGATTCCTTCATTACAGGGGGCTGGACCTGGTGATTCTTGGGGGTCCCTTCCAACTCTACAATTCTAGGATTTGGCAGTGAGCTTCTGGCTGGGATGAGATGTGGACAAGGGGCTTCATGGATCCCATTCTTAGAGACAAAATTGACACGACACGTGTAACTTGAAATTGTTGGCTTTCTTTTTTCTGTTTTCCCCACCGTGTATTCCCAACTAGGCCTCTTTTTTACAATAGAAATTCTGTTGAGGCTCTGGCAGAAATACATGTTGCTATCTAAAGAAAGAACATTCCCTCTGCAGAGCCTTCAGAGATCCCCAGTGTGATTGCAATCAAAGGTGCGGAATGCTTTGACAGAGCTTTTAGGCTTTGATAACAGTTCCAACATCAACAGTTACCCAACCATATCTACAGTACATTGCAGTGCATTAAGGGAACTGGTTTAAATTAGTTTATTTCCTGTCAGATAGGGCAATTAAAAGTCCTAAAATAGAGTTATAGCACATCTTCTCATCAGCACACCATCTGAAGACTTAATTACTGTACTTTCCCTTCATTGTGAGGGATCCTCTTCCTCAAGATGTAGAAAAACAGAGGTATATTAACCAGCAGCTGTAAATAACCAAAGGATGAGACCCCAAATCGTCTGTATAAAAATCCTCCTATAGTTGGGCCTATTGTCCTTGTCAGTGGTTGAACTGATGAACTAATTCCCAGCATGGCACCTAAGGAAGAAAACGTAAAGAAAATTAATTCTGCAGATCAAAATTAATGTCAGTATCTACTCCAACACCAGTGTATTAGACCAATGTGTCTTTAGCATTTATGCAATCAGGGATTTCATATGCCAGTCCTAAACACAGTAATGTGGCAGACCATAAATCTGATTTCACACAATTCACACAACTCTGCAATTGAAATAAGGAACGAAGAGAAGTCCGTTTCCAAACATGGAACTTGGTACCTCACCAGCATTACTAGGGATGGGTGTGATGAAGCACTAGTAAATCCCACTGGTCCAGGTTGCATGTCACACTAAGCCAGGGGCGCCAACTATAGGGGGCAGAAGGGGCTTTAGCCCCCTCAATATTGAGGAGGCCCCCATCCCCTACTGCCCGCTGATGTCATGCATGTGATGTCATACATATGTCATGTGAAGCCGCACCCCTTCAATGTGGGGGGCAAGTCAGTGCCTTTGACCATGGCTTAGCATATATGTGTGAGTGTGCCAGTTCCCTAGGAGATTGTGACCATTTTGCTCCTCCCTGCAGGTTTCATTGGCAGACTCTGCTGAGCTAACCATGGTTTGGTTAAACCATGGTTTGGTTAAACATGCTAACCATGGTTTGGTTAAACATGTCATCTGAACTGTGGCTTGTGGTTTAGTTCTCCCCCGGCTAACCATGAGCTGCAACCAAAGTCTGTTCTTGGTTTACAGCTTGCGGTTCATCTGGAGAGTGCAACACCACCAAATTGGGACAAGGCACTAAGTCAAACCAATGCTTAGGTCAGCACGGTGCAGCAGTAAAATGAGGAGCAAAGTAGCCACTATCACCCTCTCAGGAGATCGCACTAAGCCACAGTTTGGTTTAGCATGATGCGTGAAAGCAGGTCACCAGTATCAAAAGGAAATGTAAGCCTATGTTTAATTCTGTTGCACAGAATTGCATGATGAGCTACACTGGCTGAAATTCCCTTTTCTACACAGCTACTAAAGGAGCCCTGCCCTCTTTTTGGACCTGGTCACCCTACCGTGGGTGCTAACAAGTGACCTTAGCTTGGAACTTTGCCGACCTATTCCCTAACACCCAAACAGCTTGTTCTGGATGCTGAAGGGAAGGGCAGAGTGGCATCTGGCCCAAAGAGAAACCCAGAAGACTGTAGACTGATGGAGGCAGCTGGCACTGCAGCAGAGAGCAGAAAGGGTAGGGCAGGAGAAACAGCAACCCGAGAAGAGTTGACTCCATAGATGGCTGACACGCCGACAGAATCTGACGAGTGGATGGCTGGAGAAGAGGCCGTTCGAGCAAGCATTGAGCTTCACCTGACTGGAGCACACTGCGTGGTGATTGGCAGAGGGTGGCCAGGTGATGAAAAAGGGCAAGGCTGTTGCACCTTGACTGGTTGCGTAGAAGAGGGGATTTCAGCAGGTGCAGTTTGCATGGCAACCAAAGGTGTAGAAATTCTACCTTTTCCCCCACACTGGCCACCCAAGGCATGCCTGCTCCTCCTGAAAAAGGACCTTGATTTATGTTCCTTAAGGTGTCTAGCAATTCTCCTCACCGGAAAACCTCAGTTTGTTTGACAAGAAAAGCCATGAATGAAATAATTGCAACTGGTGAAGAAACTGTCAAAAAGATTTGAGGTTTATTTTAAAAAATAAAAAATTATTTAAAAGCCACAAATGAAAACATTTCAACTGGAAATGTATGATTGTAAAGCAGGGAGGTGTCTTTAAATGAATCGATGGGTGGGTCAGGTAACGTGCAGTTCCACCCACAGCCAGAAATGGGTGTTGAAGCACTTTTAATAGCTGTGCTGCTTTGGGAGTCACCCACACTGCATTAATTGCCAGAAATGGCTTTAATAAGAGCAGTCGAAAGACTTTGCGAAATTTTCTCCAGTGATACATGCTGTCCCTAATGTCCCACTTTGAAGCCCGGCCCCTCCGCATCTCACAGCACTCACAACTTATTTCCCAAAGCTGAAAGTATATGGTTTTCCGACTGGGATATGCAAGCTGTAGTCTTAAGCACATGATTGCTACACGCTTCAGTACAGACCCAAAACATCCCTTGTTAAATATAGCACAGATTCTAGACATGTCTCTGCCGGTAACCCAGCCCTGATCTACTACGTGCTACTATTATTCTAGTACACACATCTACTTGAATGGAAATACAAAACCACCACCCCTTATATGCAGCTCCCTCCCCCACCCCCACCCCCTTCTCTCTCTCTCATATTCTCTGGGTCCCAGTACACTGTTCCCCATGCATTTTGCTCCTAAGCTATATTACCAGTATTTTGCTGCTCCCAAGCAGACACTGGCAAATTCTTCTGAACTGTGACCTAATAATCTATGCAAATTAGGTTTGGGATTAGGCCACTGAGGGAGCATTCATAT